TGGAAGGGAAAGCGACGACGCCTGGGACGCTCGCAGATGGGTCCGGGCCTGGGGGCTGTTCCCGTCCCCGAGGCTTGGCGGGGCGTGGCCGAACAGACAAAAGCATCGCTCAGGCCCGAGTGGTGGACCGGGCAGGGCGACCCCGGGACAACTAGCAGTGCAATCTATACCCACGGCTGCGCGTGACACCCCGGGGGACAGCCCTGTTCGCCCCGGGGCGTGTCGATTAGAGTAGCGCTGCTGTCCAGCTGCTGTCCTCCCCCTTGGACCAGCGGAGGAGCAGGCCAAAGGAGGAGGCTACAGAAGTACTTTACAGTGTCAAGAATCGCGACGTCCAAAGTACTAGTGAGGACGAGGACGCCCCGCCTTTGTCGTCGTCGAAAAGAGATATGTACGGCGCGACCACGCCGCCGCCTGGGGGTCCGAGGGTAGGCCACACACCGTGCACAGCTCGCGTACAGGTGCCTACCCTCCACATGCAAGGGGCTTCGCTCAGAACAAAAATTGCATTCGAAATCTACGACGCCGGAAAAAAAAATCTCATAGCCACTGTAATTTCGTGTCATTCACTGAACACTTTACAATAGAAAAAATTATTGTATGCATAGCTGACAGTTAAAAATAGATGCATATTTTACAGTGGACATTAGTGCTTGGTAGTGCTTCAGTTGCAGGCAGTTGTAGTGTAGTGCCAGTATTATTTTTTTTCAACAAATGTTGTGCAGTAAAATGATCTTGAGTAGAAGTTTGCACTTGACTGGAAAAACAAAGGTGCTACAATGCCGTTTTAAAGACGCCACTTGGCCTTTAAGGGTGCTATTTTTGGTAATGTTTGTGCCTCTCCTTTACAAAGGCACTACTGCAGTAGCAACTTAAAAAGGTGTTGTATAGCACCATTGTTTTCCAGTGTTGATATCTCCTTTGTGTATCTACTAGAACAAAACCCGGTGGGCCCCCTTGTCTTTCCCCTCCTCTTACGAAAATTAAGTTAATAAATTTTCCAATTTCGGGCCAACAACAAACAAACAAAAATGTGTGCCCTTCACTGGCAGGAAATGCTTAATCCCCGCCTGGTCCGCTTACAGCGCCCGTCTCCACGACGAAGCGGCCGCGGGCGCAGCCGTGCAAGTGGATGGGGCTGCGGGGCCGGAAGCGGAAGCGCTGCCGGCAGTTCATCACCAACCGCTTCAAGTTCGGGCTGGCGGCGCGGAGGTGGGTGGCGGCGCGAGCGCGCGGCAGCGCTTCTTTCTGCCCTTCGTAAATAATAATAACAGCGTGATAATAACGTCAGGGGGCCCGCGGAGCCGTTGAGCAGCCCCCGGCCGACCCTCTGAAAAAGAATTCAAAAAATGCCGCGGGCGAAATGCCACAAATGCGGAACAGGGTGTAAGTATGAAACTCGGTTGTTGCAAAGAGAGTGAAGTACTTTTTATCTCTTTTTTTAAAATCCCCGTTGCGTATCACCCGCAATAATATACGACGCCATTAAAGAATAACACGTCTCCCCCCGGCCCTTTTCGGTATTTCATTATCTTTCGTGTCCCTCCCTCCCGGGGCAATATTTAATTACAGAAAATGATTTCCATGTGAGTGTGTGTGTCCGCGGTCCTGCAGGCGGGGCTCCGCGCTGCGCCTCAACATCCCGCAGCAGCCGCCGCAGCCGGGCGCCACCCCCGGGCCGACCGCCCCCACGGACCCTGCCGCCCCCGTGGACCCCGCGGACCCCGCGGCGCCCACCCCCGAGCTCACCACGCCGGGCACGCCCCTGGACTACGACTGGCTCAAGAACGACTTTGACGAGCAGGTCAGTCGGGGAATGGGGATAGGGGGTGGCCATGACGACAAAGCCCGCCCGCAGGATCCACAATGATTGATCGGAGAGGCGCCGCGTTCAGTCGCGGGCGGCGTCAACCGGCATCAACCGGGGCGCGTCAACGGGCATCAACTCACCAGTGATGAATGGGTGTGCGAGCAGGTGAGCCACGCGGACGACGGGGCAGGCTCCCCGGACCCGGTCGACGACGAAGTGAACCTGGAGCCCGTCGACGCGGAGAGCGAGAAGGTGCTGCACATGGTGGAGGAGGAAATCCTGGAGCGCATCTCCGACGGCCAGGACGACAATCTCACCGTCAACCAGACGCTGGCCGAGGTGCTCGACGAAACCATCCAGGAGATCAGCGACGTCACCTTCCGTGAGTACGACGCTCCTGATGGACAAAGTCAAAAAGAGGATTCAGAGAAACATTTTGGAATAAGTTTCAGGGGAGAGGTGGGGCAAAGCGCGATCCGTGGGAGATGTGTCTGAGGCCGGTGAACCCGGGCAGTAACTCCATCACCCTTCCTCCCCCCGGTTCCTTCTCCGTGAGGCTCCTTGGGGTGCCCTACCCCCTCCCCCTTTTCCCCCTCCCTACCTCTCTCTCACACACACACACCCCCACCCCCTTTTCCCACTCACACACAGAAGCACGTTAAATTGCCCTTGATTAGACCCTGATCGACCACTGCGGCCTGATTTGGAGCTAGAGGAAAAAGAAATAGTGAGTGACTGAGCATTGGCAGGGTCATGCTCACACACAGACACGCACTCTAAAAAGCTAAACCGGGCAAAAAAAGGCAAAAAAATACGATTCTGTCAAATCGTGGTAGACAAGAAGGTAGTTTATCGTTAGAAATGAATTTGAAACGTTCTAAAAAAGTAGCTGTAATTGTTATGCAATAGTTTATTTCAAAGCAGAGAAGTGTAAGCAACTAATGTGTCGTAGAAAGATTTTCTTATTGAAAGTAATAATCTCACGTGTTTCAGTTCTTCAATATGTATTTAAATGTGAATGTGAATGTTCTGTAGTGTTTTGTCTGGTTGTTGTGGTTACTCATTCGTTTAGGTCATTCCCTGTTCTTGTAACGCGTGAGAGTGGAAGACAACGGAGGTAGTTTTTAGTAAATTTTGACAGACAACAAAGGTACTTGCTATAATTTTGTCTGATGAAATTTGATAAATTTGAGTTTGCATCCACAAGTTTCCATGGGAACGACGAGCTGAGCAGCAGGCCGAGTCGAGCCAGGGAAATTTCAGCCAATCACAAATTTCCGCGGGAAAGTTTGACCAATAGAAACGATCGCCTGTTGCTTTGTACAACCCTATCCAAAAATCATATGAGCCTGGCGTCGATACTCCCTACTTTCAGTGGTCGCGTTTGAATAATAACATGTTGCCGCCGTGTAAAAAGGTGCAGCATAAACGCTGTTTCGAACGTGACCAGTCAGCATCAGTCGACGATAGGCATTGTTAGCGAAGACTGTATTTCTGACTTCCAAATCGCATTTAAAAGAAGGCGCGGCGGCTAACAATGCTGCCAACCTGTCGCCCTTTTTTGCAGCTGGGGTGCGGCTCCCAGGAATATTTAAAAGAAAACTATGTTTCATAAACCTCAACTGTAGATCTATTTTGCTTCTAATAATATTATTTCATAGTAAGCAAAACGTATGCGAAGCCAATTAGTACAACCAACCATAACTAAAAATAAATATCATATCATTTATTAGTTATGACAACATCTAATATTGAATAGAATATTTTGACTATTCCGACGTAAAAATTAAAATCTATGGGGCCGTTAACGCGTTAGCGTTAGAATTTGTGGTAAATATTCCTGCCATTGCACAGAAAGGATCTGGTTTTTGGGCCAATTTTTGAATTTGAATACTATACCTGTGTCTGGTTTACTTGTGCAACCAGGAACAACACAAGTAGTATATACCATATTGCAGTTAATGGGCTGTATTTATATGTGGTTCAAATCAGGAATTATTAAATAAGACCAATAAATTTGACTCCAAGCTCTATGAAAATGGCGTCGATGGTCTACCCTTGCGTGTACGATTGAAATGAAAGTCTTTATAAGAAGGCGGTAAGGTGGTGGCGTTCGAATATGATTATTGTCATTCGTGTCTGTTTCCTTACTATAGTAAAGGAAGTGTGCTCTTTCGGAAAACCCGG